AGGACACATTTGAGGAGTCCTGATACATTCACTAAGTCATTCACATATAAAATAAATAACTTTGGTCCAAGTACAGAGCCTTGAGGAACTCCACAAGTGATATTGCACAGGTCAGATCTTACACCATTTATTTGTACAAACTGTTTCCTATCTTTTAAATAGCTAGATACCCAGTGTAATGCTGGTCCTCTTATACCATATTTATTTAATTTTTCAAGGAGAATAGTGTGGTCAGTAGTATCGAATGCTTTTTTTAAATCAACAAAAATACTAACACAATACTGTTTTTGATCGACAGCAGTAGTTATTAGTTCCATTATTTCCATGAGAGCCATTGATGTAGAGTTTTTTGCTCTAAACCCATACTGACTGCTACTTAGAATGTTTTGTTTAGTAATAAATTTATCTAATCTGGTCACAAATAGTTTTTCTAGAATTTCTGAGAACTGTGGTAATAATGATATTGGTCTATAATTATTGAACACACATTTATCACCATTTTTAAAGAGAGGAACTACCTTAGCTACTTTCATATTGTCTGGAAATATTCCTTTTGAAAATGATAAATTACAAATATATGTAAACGGCTCGATAACATAACTCATTATGTCCTTTACAAACATCATATCCATGTCCACCCAGTCTTTTGATCTCTTATCTGTAAGATTTTTTTACTACATTCATTATTTCTTCTTTGTCAGTTCCATTAAGAAAAATACTGTTGTCACAACTTATAACTGAATGGTTCACATTATTGTCTACTTTTGGTATTTTAGCTGCAAGGCTTGATCCAACGTTCACAAAATGATGATTAAATCCATTTACAATTTCATTTTCATCATGGATTTCATCATCATCCTTCAGAAAATATTGTGAAATACCTGTTTTTGCTTTATGACTTTTCAGAACACTATTTATTACTCGCCATGTTGCTTTCATATCACCATTATCCATCCATTTTCTTTACCCGCTTATTCCATTTTGGGTCACGGGGGTCGCTGGTGTCCATGTCCAGCAATCACTGTGTGAGGGGCGGGGGACACCCTGGACAGGTCTCCAGTCCATCACAGGGACACATAGAGACAAATGAGACAAACAACCATTCCCTCTCTCACCTAGGGACAATTTAAAGTTACCAATCAGTCTAACATGCATGTTTTTGGTCTGTGGGAGGAAACCGGAGTACCCGGAGAAAACCCACGCATGCACGGAGAGAACATGCAAACTCCACCCAGAAAGGCCCCTGGACCGGGGTTTGAACCAGGGACCTGCTCGCTGAGAGGCAGCAGCTCTACCAGTTGCACCACCGTGCTGCCCCATATCACCATTACTTTTATTTAATAAATCACTATAATATTCCTTCTTGTGTTTCCTTATAATCGCTACTAATTTATTTTTATACTTCTTATATTTCTCTTCAGCCTCTTGTGTTCTCAGTTTCAAGAAACATGAAACAAATAATTATTTTTTTACAAGCATTTCTCAACCCTTTCATCATCCATGGTTGGTCAACAACATTTCTTTTTGTACAATTATTTTGCACACAATTCTTTTCATACAGAGCTCCTAAAATATTCATAAACTCATCATATGATCTGTTCACATCATCAACATACACGTCTTTCCAGCTTTGTTTATGTAAATCATCTTTTAATTTGTCCATTGCTTTTTTTGATGTGTTTATTGTTTTTTCTTAATTGTGATTTCTTTTGTAATGTTTTGATCATTTTTATAAATAGTGAAAACTGGTAAATGATCACTCAAATCACTCGTTAAAATACCTCCCATCACATCCCCATTTGTTTTTAAAAAAAAAAAAAAAAAAAAAAAAAATATATATATATATATATATATATATATATATATATATATATATAGCAAGGACTTTGTTGGTTACATATATTAAAGTTTGTTTTTTACACATTTATTTACATAAATATTGGAGGCGGCTGTGGCTGAGTGGTTAGAGCAGTCGTCCTCCAATGCAAGAGTTGGGGGTTCGAATTCCACCAGCAGTCACATGCTGAAGTGTCCCTGGGCAAGACACTGAACCCCTCATTGCCTGTGATGTGTGTCCATCAGTGTATGAATGTGACAAAGCTCTGATTAGTGTCTGTAGAATGATTTGTTCAATTATCATTGCAGAAGTAAAGAGCTTTGTGTCTTGATAAGACAGAATACAGTATATATGAATACATGTGATATATGAATACATGTGATATATGAATATCAATCAACCTTTATTTATACAGGTAAATCCCATTGAGCCTCGAGGACTCATTTACAAGAGAGACCTGATTTCAACAAAGAAAGATGACAACAATGGACAACAGCGACAACAATAAGCAGTTATAAAAACTCATACTACAGTTTTTTTTTTTTTTTTTTTTTTTTTTAACAAATAGGATGGCTAAAAGGAAAAAGGTAACAAAACCAAAAAAACTGCTAGATTCCGAG